AGGCGAGTTAACGCTAACATAGAGTTTCTGAATAAACTAGTCGATGGTCGTATAGATGCTCCCTCACTTCTCTCGATAGTCAATTTCAAAGTTCCTTCCCGTACTACTAGATACCATGCTCCTTTCGTTGTTCCTGCGCACACTACCAATTATGGCAGAAACAATCCGTTAGACCGCATGATGCGGCTGGCCAATGAGAGCACCGTTCATCAAAACTGATACATTTATTATTATATATTTTTATATTTGTTATATTATCATTATTATACTTATTATTCTGTAATTATTATCTTATATAAATTTAATTATGTCATTGTATTAATTATTTTAAATTATGTATTATTGTATTATGTTAAACTGTTGAATAGGGCCCAGCCCGTTAACAAATAAATAAACAAATAAACAAATATTGGATCTATTATTTTCCTAAAACCAGAATCTTTCATCATTGTTAATGGTCTTCCATTCATTGTCACTAACTCTACACAGGCGGTTAACAATATTTGCTCGGACATGTTAATTGTAATGCACTGTTTTTTCATAAAATTTGTCATCAACTTTTGTTTTCCACAGTTTCCAGCTTTTCTCTGGACAATCATAAATAAAATAAGTTGGACAATGAATTTAAACGCAAGTATAAATAAATAGGTAATCCCTCTATTATAGAAAACTAGAAAAGTGAGCGAAGTGAGCAAGGGGGCGATTAAATAATAATAATATATTAAAGTTAATACTTAATAGTTAATGATTATTAATATAACATATAATATTATATACATTAATATTACTAATGTAAAGTATCAAAGTAATTTACTATTTTATGATTTATATTTTATAGTTTAAACTTTAAACTATAAACCTTGCAATGTAAATAATGCGTGTACTGTGTAGGTATAATATAAATAGGACAAATAGGTACTTACTTTTTCTGCTGAGTTTTGAATACTGGTATCTGATGTATAAGACTTAGCATTTTGTAGTTCGACGTATTGCGTTTTGTGATATGCAAAAATATGTTTTTCAAGATTTGATCCATGTTTTCCTTTTAGGCTAGCTGTGCAATTTTCAACATTGCATTTGGAAATATTTGTTAATTTTTCATATTTAAAAAACATATCTAAGACAGGATTTTTCATCTTGAAAGCGCACAATTTACTATTTTAAATAGGTTTCAAATAAATAGACACACTTATTGTCGCAGAATAAGCTTAACACTGTTTACAGACAGTGGCGTAATTAAGAATTTGTCTTAGGGGGGGATAAATATTTTTATAAATACTTAGATTTTCAAGTATAATATCTGGGAAAACTATTTCATCA